TAATCAACTACCTGTGATAGACTTAATCAGGGAAGAGTTCTCACCATGGGTAATGAAATGTGCACGTTTCTAAACCACTGTCACATTACATATCTTTTCTCACTGTAACAGAGAAGTAACCTCTCCAGTAAAAACAGCAATGAGACATTGTAGGGGTAGAGCAGCAAGGAAAACCTATTTAGGTCCTAGTAAGAGTTTACGAACACACTGAGTGGAATTCAGACTGCTTGCAGCAGAAAATGCAAGAAAAAAAGTTCAAATGGTCCGTAACTCAGAAACATAACCATGTGTCTCTTCAAGCATATGAGAAATTCCATTAAACTAATCTGCTAATTTAACTAATTGAGCTTAGGACGACTACTCATACGGTTAAACACCAACATATGATCAATTATCTCCCTAAAAAGAGGGCCCAGTCAAGAATGGATAATGCAAACAAATGTTGTATGTATGCTTTTAAATGTTTCGAGGTATTTGATTCAGCATTCTATAAACAAAACTACTCAAATTTTCTTTTTGGTGTACAATCTATTTCCTGGATGCAAAACATTCTTGGAAAGCAGCATCTGAATTATTACACAAAAATTATTTTGCTTAGAGTCAATAGCCAATAATCTAATAAAAGTTTCAGATATAATCAGTTTCAGATATAATCAGTTGATTATAGTGAAACAGCTCATATTCTATAGATGTGTTCGATATACCTCAGAAAACAATACAAAAAACGTTCTTATGTAAATTCAAGTAATAAATAGGAGCTGATAATAACTCTTTGGTCAGCTCTTACCGGCAAACTGCACTTGCAGAATTAGTTTCACACATTAACAAAGTAACCATTTTCACACATACAAATTCCTACAATGAACAAATACTTACTGTTCAGACTGCCACAGGAGTCTACTATGCATTAATTAGCATCTCTGATCATATATTGATTAATTAATTATATTAATTTTTCCTTAAATTAACGGGTATTTTGCAGTTTATGTATCATATAAACTTACCCTGTTATGTTGCTTCTTCAGTTTACCCTATATTTTATTTTGGAGGTGCTATTATTATTTGCTTTAAATGAATAAACAGAAAGACACATCCACACCGGTATCTCTGAAACTAGAATGAAATGTTCAGCAAGATGGTGTCTGATATCTCCATCGTGACAAGCAACACCTACATCTGAAGAGGTCAATCAGCCCACAATGCGCTGTACTTGATTCTGGGCAAAATGTGAATGGGGAAGATGAATAATTAACTATTTTTATGATAAAAAAGGAATTTGGTTCACAACCTCCCATTCTATTTTGGCCTTGAAATAGGAAGTTTGACGGACGCTGCCTTCAGAGTATCTCACCCTGATGCATATTCTGTACTTGCATTTGAGTCAGCGTTTGAGATGACCTGTTGCCATATGGAAAATCAGGAACAATTCCTCTAAATAATTACATCAGTTTATTGCTCTCTGTTGCCAAGAGAAACAAGGCTTGTTGGTAATATCCACTTGCGTTGCCAAGTAACTTAATCTTTAGGGAAACTAAACACACTCCAGTGCTAGCACTTCTCTAACAATAAATACTCTTTCTAACTGATATCATCACGGCTCATAACGGCATCTTTGTTGCGAGCATCTCCTAAGCAACCTCTGCCCAGTTTTGGGTCGATGGACTGGGAGGTGTGAGTTCTCACACCCGGCTGGAGACACGCACAGAGATGGTGTCTGAGCAGTCTGGGCCACCCTCATAGTCACTGGGGAGAAATCTGGACTTTGAAGGCAAGTGAGGTGAACACTGCCCAGACCAGCTCAGCTGCATGGTAGAAGCACCCATTCCCCCAGGAGCCCAGGTGAGGTGGTGTAGGCTTTACCGAGCTCTGAAGTAAGGGGAGATGAATCCAGGCTGGGCACAGACATGGAAGCCAGCCCGTGTCAGTGCAATTAAACTTCTCCTGTGGCAGCAAAGCCTGGCGAGAGGCCAGCCTGGTGATGGGCTCGCTCTTTCAGACCTGTGGTCTGGGATCTTTGTGAGCTCTCTTCATCAGGAGCTGGAGGGCAGCGAGCAGGGCTGGCCCGGCTCAGCCAGGAAAGGCGCTGGCAGCCCCTCACACTGCTGCCGCGGGCGCTGCTGCTGATCCCCGGGCAGTTCCGCTGTGCCTTTCACTTTGTTATCACCCGTAAGCTTCGAAAACCTGCTCTTCCAGTGCCATCATCCAAACTGGTGCAGACAGCAACTTACTGTTCCTCATTGTGCTTTCCACTCAAATTTCATTCCAGCTTGAAAAGACAGCACCGAAATCCCTCTTTTTTTTCCCCTCTCAGGTTTATTGGATTGAGCAGCCTTCCTCTCCATGGCTTTTTGCCCTGCAGTTCTCATTCTCTGTCTTTGGCTTTCTGAAACCGTGAACACAGCCCCAAAACCGCCACTTCTCTGCCTCACACACCACTTCACTGCAGCGAACAACTGCAGCAGGGTGACAAAGTGCTAGCTTGTCTCACGGCAATCCCATTGTGCCATTGAAATTCAGCTGGGTTTCTAAGCAGTGCTTGAGAAATTCTTTCCAACTCCGTGGCAGTTTCCCCCGCAGCTCACAGCAGCTGAAGGGCGCTATTCAGGGGGATGCTGACAGCCCCTTTCTTTAAGACTCATATTACACAAAGCGTTTTGCAGCCTTCACTGATTCCTCCCTAAGCTAATTGAACTTGTTGATTCAAAAACCACCTTGTAGTCTGTGCTGACAGCGACTTGACACAAACGGCAGAGCTTATTGGGTTTTTCTGATTTCCCTGTAGTCTCTGTCACCAATGCGTTTTGTGGGGCTTATCCACTCCCACGTGTTAACAACCTCTAATCAACACCCAGACCCTTTGTGGTTGGAGGCATGGGGCTTTTCACTATGAAAAACATTTCCCATGCAGCTGCTGGAACAGAACCCTCTTCTGCTTTGTTCTCTTCTTTTTTGTAGAAGTACCATGGACAGAATTATTTTAACGGTAGACATATAAACTTCTCACCTGTATAAGCAATACCGATGACAAGAAAATTAAACACAGTGTTACAACAGCCTGATATTTCTCTTTTTTCCAACAAACCAGTTACTTTCTCCATGACATCCTCTGTACATGAAACTCTAATTCATCATGCCTCAGCGCTCTGTTGAATCAAACAGTTTTAAGTTCTAAGACCTGATTTGGACAGCTATTTAGGCCCTTCATATTACAGATTTCTTCCGAGAACCCATTTCTGTAATGATACCTGCAAAGAAAGAGCTGTTCTGTATGTGCTGTTTACCTTAATTCTATTTTATTGAATTAATTTAGTTCCATGAGGACAGCTCTTGTATCAGAGCATATTTCCGCTTAACCAATAATTTAATGATGGAATGCTTCCAGATATATCTTCCCATTGATTATTACTTTTCTTCACCACCATAACTTTTTCTTAGGTCAAATCCTATAAATGTTACTTGGCACAAGGAGCATTGCTTAGGCAGGGTGTCTGGAGAAGTCCTATTTTCAGTACAGACCTCCACCATTCCAAATCTCCAGTTGATAATATTTGAGCTAAGAATAAATACTCCTGATTAAATGGATTTCATCTTACTCCAAGACCAATCACTCATAAATTGCTTTACTTATGTACACACAGTTTTTCTTTTAAAAAATTAATATATATTAGTGTGGAGGATACAGTGTGTATTGAATCAATTCCTTGTAAATACAAGTAAGGAAATATCTAAGTAATCAGAGCAATCTGTGTGGCTCCTCTCCTACTTATGGAGGTTGTTTGTCTTCATAATTATATAATGTATACAAATTGGCATTGGCAGGATACATTTATTTGCTTCCTAAAGTTCTATATTTCCTTTGTATTTCTGAAGGTCAGAGAGACTCAGCGAAACCTGAAACAGTCGTTTTAATTCCCCAACTTTTCATTTCACTACAATATAATTAATTATCTTATAGATTTTTGTGTAGACTTCTTTATTCTCCTGTTGGATAAGTATACTATAACTAAACTAACTTCAGTTAGGTAACTGTCATGAATAATTAAACATAATGGCATTTTTAAAATTAAATAAGTAACCCAAGCATTAAAATTATTCTTTATAATACCATTTCAGAGCAATGGCATCAAATCCTTACCATAAATAGCTTTTGACTCAGAAACATTAAATACAAATGATCATCACATTTTTCTTCTAAGTTACATATTCCTTGAGTTATATACAGTGTCCTTTTCATATTTGGGCTGAAGTATCTTTAGGAGATACAAAATACAAAATGGAATATTTAGTATCTTACTTTAAACTCACTATATTAAATTATCTTCTTAGCTATGCCTATGTAGGAATTCTGATTTTAGAAATCAGAATTTGTCCTTGTGCATTCAGATGCAGTGATGTGTCTACACTACATTTCCCCTCTAGTCTTGCTAGTGCAGTATTTTAAAGATGAGAGGCCACCATCCCAAGAGGTTCAAGGCACCTTGATATAAAGACTCACTTGAATTTAAGCACACGTTTAAAGTCTGTGTGCTTTGCAGTATCAAGAGGGTCTTAAAGATAAGCATATGCCTAAATATTATGCTGAACTGGGGCTAGAAACAAGGTTTATCCTCTGAAAGAGCAGAGCAGTTGCAATACCCTAGTACAGATTAATGATGCTCTGTGAGATTTATCTTTGAATACAGCAGGAGGAGGAAAGCCTCCATTAATAAAAGGGAAAATCATGAATCAGGAAATGCTGGAGACTGTAATAAGCAGGAACACACTTTAGCTCATGCTGAAGCACAAATTTAATCCTGTGCAGCATTTAGCTTTCATAAAATATAGGTTAACTGGCTGCATGCAAGAGAATGATATGTTACCTTAAATATTATTTGCTTTTTACTAAAGAGGAATGGTGTCAGGATTCTGGAAGAAGTCCATGATACATGTCTCTATGATATAATATTGCTAATGTGAGATTATTAACTTATGATCATATAATTTGAATGAGAAAAACTTACTTGAAGGCATTGGCATCTCCGTGCACCTTATAGTTGTCTGCACTGATTCTTGAGATAACTCTTGTGACAGCGATGAGAATCCCGATATTGACCTGAAGAAGGAACAAGACTTGGTCAGGCAAGTAAGGACTGACTCTGTCAGAGGTGCAAACTGCCCGAGGAGTCTTATTGTACAAATACAATGGAAAACAGGAACTTTGCATGTTATAGTGATTTGGCAAAAGATGTTTCCAGTTTGGGACTGGTATAGTTTGACCCTTGCCAATGGATTTCCCTCTTCCCGCAGTGGGCAGTTCTTGCTTGTGTTTTCTTTCCTTCAGGAACCATCCTTGCCTGCTGTTTAGGATAAATCTGGGTTGATACATTGCTTCACAGCTAAAGAAATGCTTAGGATCCCTATGGCATAAATAAATAACCTAATAATCTACTGCCAGCTGGCCAATTAGAGAAGAACTTCAGTGAACAGGGGCATGTGTCTACATGCTCTTTGGTTTTGTACTTGCATGTGCACAGACTTCAGACAGAACCTTTCCCACTGGTGTACCGTTCCTGTTTCTTATCAAGGTCTGCTTGCAATTTAAGCACAAGATTATTTTAAAACAGAAATGAGGAAAATATGTTAAGCCCGAACTCTGGTTTTCAAAAGCCCGGCTCTTTTTGATGTCAGGCCCAGCACAAACATCAATGAAACGAAAAGAACTCCCACCAGAAAAGCAGGAAATCTTGAAAAGACTAACACTGAGAATGTCTAACAAAAGAAAGTTTGCTCTGAAGTCACAGGTGAAGAAAGAAGGAAATCTTTATCATTTAAAGGAAGCATGACAAGACTGTCTTGCTGTGCAAAGACCTTGGGTTTAAAGAAAAAAAAAAACAAAGAGAATGTGAAAGGCATATTTCCTGTCCAAAGTTACACATTAGCTACAAAGCTGGTATTTATTATCAAGTTAAGAACAAGGGTATCCTGAACTACGGAACAAAAAGAAAGAGAAGACTTCAAAATAATGCTGTTGCTCAGATAAAACTCAATAATGAAACTCTAATTTGACCAAAATATTCTAAATCTGACTGAATTAAAAAAAAATAATAATAATTTTTATGATAATGATTTCCTTGGTATTTTTCAAATTCTCTGACAACTCTTCTAATTTTAGATTTCTAAGCTCACATTATCATCTCTTGTAAAGCAGGAACATAGATGTGATAGTTCATTTCTGCCACGGCTTTTTAGCCTGCGCAAAGAATATTCTGTGGAACCTGACAGCTTTTCAAATACAAGGGTATTTGTTCTTCCATCAGCTTTACAGATGAATAAGAGATGAAATTCAATGGTCTAGGGATCATTTTCCTTATTCCCACCAAATCATATTTTGTAAATATCTTCTATACATTCTTTGAGGTGATAATGAGCATTTTTGAGAAACCCATTTATATGCTAAATATGCGTGTGGACTGAAGTGGCAAATGATGAACACAGCCAGCTTACACTTTCTCTTTCTCTTCTCCTTCTCCTCCAAACTCTCCAATTTTCTGCCACATATCCACCAAATGATCGTCATCATCATTACTCCAGCTTTTCATGGGAATTATCACAGAAAATGCCTCTCTGTACCCTTAACTTATTTCCTGACACATTATCTAGCAGCAGCCTTTTTTAGTCTTTTATCCAAAATGCCAGTCTCCTCTTTTGGCACTTCCTTGTGGATGTCTCACTGACATTTCAAGTTCATCTGGGCACAGGTGCTCCATGATCCCTTCTTCTGATGACTGCAGACAACAGCACACTCCTGCCAACCTCACTAGTGCTTAACCCTAATGCTTTCTTCCATTCCTAGTTCTTTTTAGACACTCCTAAACTTTGCTTTCTGTGTAGCATTTTTAAAAATGTGCACGTTATGCCTAAGTATATTAAAACTCTACCCTAAAAATGAAGAAAATGGAAGGGAGGGAAGGAAAAGATAGATCTATCTATCATCTTTTGGATGGTCTTTTAAAGAGGAAATTTAGAAAGGCTTTGAGCTTCTGTTGCGCAGTTGGTGTCACTATATCCTTTCCAGAGTGCATAAGTATTTTGTCTGAAAGATGAGAACGAAATATTGTGATCTCAGTGCTGACAAAAAAAAACAAGGGACTTGTAAAATTAGCGATGAACCATTACACTCAAGTCCCAAAGTTCTGTACTGTAACTTGAAAATTTTTGCTTAGGTATTTTGAGAAAAGAGAGTATCTCCTCCAGCCTAAATAAACAGATTAGCTACAAATGTCCTCCTTTGTTAATGTTTCACTAAGTAAGGCATGGAAGTATTTCCACCTCTCTTATAATGGGAAACCAAAACACAGCCACCGAATTGTTCCTCCCCTCATTTTTCTGGCATCTGACATAAATACTTTGCCAGTGAATTGAACAGAAGAATGCTTAGTTGACGAAACATTCACTATGTTTTAACTTATATTAGAATGTTCAGACTAGGAGAATAAACATTTAGATAAGGGAGCTCTATGCAGTTCCTATTTCTCACTTTTCTGAAAGGCCAGATTAACACAGTTGCAGATATTTTACCTTAAAATTACACAGGAACTTGGAATATTTTTGCTTGCGGGTACTGGACATACTCTTTTTTTTTAAAAAAAAAAAAAGCTCATAATTCTAGTGCTTCTTTCCTAACTCACAGGGCTCCTTTCAAGGCAGCTTGTCCCACTCCAGGCACTCGCAAATCTCTGTGAAATCAGCAGGAGCTGCCAGTTCCCATTACCGTGGGTTTGATCCAAAGCCCACCAGTGCCCACGGAGAGATCCCAATGACATCAGGGAGCTCTGGCTCACTCTAGTGACAACTTCATCTGCCTAAAAAATGTCAGATCGGGAAGAAAGTTAAATGAGTAAAAAGGACCTCTTTGAAAATCTTTTCTCATCAAATTTTGTCAGACTAGATACAGTGAGACAAATTCTTTCATTTGCTTAGTTGTATTTTTTTGCAGGAGTTTCACCTAGATTTCCTGCAAGTCTCATGAGATTTTTGTTTCTTCTTTAGAACAATGCAGAAATCCCACATGTAAAAACCTCTGATGTGATGTGTTACATCCTAGCCAAGAAAAGGCTTGGCAGCACAGAGAAAATAACAACAACAAAAAATGGATAAAACATATTGCCTTAATTAAATCCGTTGACCAGCTTTCCCCTAAAACCACAAACTATTTTAGGCTCCACTGCAGTTTCAGGCAATGTGACAGGGAGTTATAACTGACTTTTCCAGTCTGAAATTTACCGTACTCTCTTATGGTGCAGGATAATTTGATCCTTGTCATGACATCACTGTTAGCACCCCAACGCTGCAAGCTGCTGTCCATGGCCAGGGCACATCAGAAATTGCTATTATGGATTATGTATTTCCAAACGTAGCTAGTTGATTAAGTTAGAGCAAGGTTAAAATATGGGAGGATGATTTTGGAAAGCCTGATTCCACTTTTAGCTATCTCAGAGTGCCTATAGATAGAATAAACTCAAATTATTTTAGAGACTTCTGTGTGCATGACTTCATATCAATGAATGTAGTACACCAGTCAGACCTGAATATCAGAGCAAAACTTTGAGGTTGGAAAGGAAATACACAAGCAAATAAATAAGAAGTATAAGGTGTAACATATCCCCGACTTCTACTCTTACCTAATATTAATCTTTAGTTTTTAATTTCTTACAATCTATACACTTATTCAAAAAATATTGCATGATTTCCTGTTGGTTAAGTAAGAAGAAATTTAATTTTAAACTAATGAAGGAATTTAAAATAGTAGAAGTGCTAATAAGAAAAAATTAGAAGCTTAGCAACTGTGGTCTGTTCATTTGTGCTCCATCCCACCACAGTGCTTAAGTATGTACTTGATTTCAATGACTCAGAGGAATCCTACTTTCTCAGGGCCTTTAAACACTATAGGGCCAATTCTTTAACGTTTTCCCATGATGAATGATGTCTAATAAGGGACACAAATCGTCACTTTTCAATCACTGGGCTTACATCTAGCGTAAGATACTGTTCAACATACAGAAATTATCCTAATTCTGCGCTGGAACGTGAAGGTATGGAAATGCCATGAGGCAACAGAACTTACTAAATCACATATGATCAGCAGGTATAAAGGAGATAATATTTTTTTATATACTGAATATTCATGAGTAAAGACCAACTGAAGACAGTGATGGCAATCTCAGCCTGGGACCCAAGTTCCACAGAGTCCTGTCTGAAGACACTGGTTACAAAGGTGATGTCCCCACAGCACAGACCTATTAGCAATATGCTAATAAAATCATTTAGCTTCATAAAAATGCTGTTTATTCGAAAGACTTGTAAAAAAAACACCAGGAAAACAACTACTTACAGGGAAAACAATAGAAAGGATTTGCCACTACAGCCCAGTATCTCCCCCTCAGTGGATTGCTCACTGTCTGTAGCAAACCCACTGCTCCGTGTACGCAGATGCTTTCTGCAGAATTTCCTTAATTCTGCCATATCTATGGAAACACACCAAGGCAGCAGATGGCTGATAACAAACAAAGCCTTCTGCCAGAAGTTTTAATGTCTTATTCCAAAAATTCAGGTGCTTTGTCAAGTGTTTGTGGGTTTTTTCCCCCATTGAAGACATGTCCAAGGCTAATTTTGGCTGAGATTAATTTGGTTTTCAAATTAATTGCAACAATTTTTTTTGCAAAGCTGCCTTAAGAGGATGCTATAGAGGCTTGGATGTTGTGTTCTGGGGTGTGGGAGAGAGTGATATTTAAACCTTAAGATGCAGGCAGGAGCCAAAAAACCTACATATAGAGGGACTTATTTTCTTCGTCACATGCCTTTACTCTAACTCTAAGGAAAGAGCACTTTGGGTATGGGAATCCATACAAGGCTGGGAGGTTCTGTGATTACTCCCTAGAAAAGTATGTGTGAGTACTTTTTCCCAGTCACACTCCCACCACATCATTCTGTTTTAAGGCTCCGTGATGTCTATATTGCCTGTGGGGCTGTGGCAGGACAAAAGCAGACTGTGTCTGCCTCGTCTGTAGGGAGTGGGAGTTGAAAAGAGCAGTCCCCCTGTTTTCTTCACAGCATAATCCTTTTTCTTGGCAGAGAGCAACTGTGGATGGAAGCAGTCGAAACACGCTTTTTGAAAAGTATTTCTATAGCTAAATACTAGTGGCTAATTTGTTATTTAAAGAGCACACGCACACATGCACACACAAATAGTGTTTAGCCTTGTTATTTCCCTATAGGCTCTAACATATTTTTCAGCTAGCATATTCAATGCCTAGAGAGAATAATTTGTCAGCTAGCTTGCTGCTATTTTGGGCAGAGCTGGGCTTGGACTATTTAACAAATTGCTTTATGTGGATCAGCCTTGTGAGCTCACCCTCTCTCTTTCTCAAAATATTTGTATCTCTACAAGAATATAAGTTGAGCTGTCCCAATATATATATAACAAGTGAGAGCCAGACATCTAAACTCTTACTTTCAAATGGAAAGCAGCTATGCATGCAAATTGTTGAAGAATGTGCTCACTCGCATGAGCAAGCGTTTCGCTATCTAGCATGTTTTGATTAATAGCATCTTCGGACAGCAGCTGGGAGAGACTTGATTTTACTGGTTGCAGCTCATCTCCTCCTTTGCTCCTGAACAACAGCCAGAAAGCAAGTGCTAATGTAAGAAGGAGACATTTGAATATTCGATTATTTTAATTGCTCTCCATTCATCAATATCTACATGTCTTTAAATATAAATCATACACAGAAGGCCCAAAGTATTGGCCAAAAAGGAATTCAGTTTGTTAGAACAAAGTCCAAAGCTGTTTAGCCAGCTGTAATCCAGTGACAAACATTTCTTATTTTCATGTATATGCTTTCCCTTAGGTGAAAGAAATTCTTTCCTTACAGCATAGAGACTCACCAGTGATGCCATTAATGATTTGATTAAAATGCGAACATGAGATCATTTCTGTCACATCAGTACAGCAACTATTTTCACAGGTTTCTTAGTATGTGTTTATATTGTCTAGATTTTCAGAGGCTGTATCTTGGGTGGAAGATGCTGGACTAGGCCGGGCTGTCCATAAGAGTTGCTGATTTCACTGTCTCCCAGGCAAATGTGAGGATGTCTGTTCAGCTGCAGCATAAAATTGCCTGTGATTGAAAGGGTAAGCCAAGGAGCCACCTTGTGCTTGCCACATAGTTATGTAGGTATGCAATGGCAAATACAAGTTCTATATGTATAGCTCTTCTTCCGTCCTTTGGCTTGTGAGCAGGATTTGTGCTTTCCTCAGAAATCCCAGGGCTCTCAGGGAAGTGCAAAGTAGAGGCTGTGGCTCCTTTTGATGCTCCTCCACGCACATAGTCAGGATCTTCTTGTACCTAACCCTCCTTAAATATGACAGCAGGCACACTCTGGTCTAGATTTGGGTTCATGTCTTTAAAATCTAAGGCTTTAAAGACAACCTGATCTGACTAATCAGTGAGTCTATTCCATGTTCATTCTGTCACTGTGACACATAACCTGCAGCAAAAATTGTAGATAACCTGATCAATTAAAGTATTGGAAACAGTGCTGAAGAGGAATAATCTCTCATTTAATCCCTGCAAACACCTCTGACTCCTTAAGTAATCATAGTGATTAAGCTACAACTCACTGTAATTTAATGTGTGGGCATAATTAAGCTGCTGTAAAGCACTGATATATTAGCACTGGAGCCGTGAACCTGCACCCTGCCCTGGGAAGATGATGTTCCTTACAGCTGGCAGAGGTATCTGCAGCAGCCACCTGAACCCCAGCAAACTCAGCTTAACAGCCCTGCCTTGATCAGCTGGACAAACTGCCATACCTGGCACCAAATTCAAAATAAGAGTAAGAGCACAAATTCCTTATCACTGTACGAAGAGAGGTGTGAAGGCAGCCCCTTACCTTCCTCAGAACTCACCCAAAGGGTGACAGCTCACGCCGTTGATTTACCCCATTCCCACCAGCTGCTGACTGCTTGCAAACTGCTGCTGAGGGCACTTGCGAACCTCAACTAGGATGTAATCAGCCTTTCTACTTTTACTGGTGTATATGAAATGCAAACGGCAGAGTTTATGCTCTTGGGGATCTTATTGAAACTCCCAAGATTACTTAGTTCCACATGGTTATTAATGGCCCCAAGAGAGCTGTTTTGGAAGAGGGCTGTCCAGTACTTTATCATAGAATCATAGAATGTTAGGGGTCAGAAGGATCGAAAGATCATCTAGTCCAACCCCAGGTTGTATTTTTGTTTTAGAATAGTGAAATTAATAGTATGAGAATAAACATGCATCAACTAATGCGTGACCACGTATAACACAAAAATCGGGGGAGGAACAAAGTGATTCTGGATGATTCATCTCTGTTGTTTTACTGGCCTGGCACAAGGACTGACATCAGACCTTCAGCTAGTTCTGCTGTGGGACTGACACAGGCATACAACAAGAAAACAGCAGCAGACATGGTTTTACCTACCAGAATTACGAACAATGCAGGTGCCACAAAAGCCCAGATTGCTCCATTCTCTAGTGAAAGCCAGCAGCTGCAGAGAAAAATCAGATTGATTTTAGATGAAACACAGTCATTTAATTAGTAATGGTCTTAATTAAAAAAAAAAAAAAAAGAGATTAAAAGAGAGATGAAGACTGATGAATTCTAAAAGCAAGAGCCTTAATAGAGCATCAATAAGAAGCTCCTCTTCCCCTCACACTCTGGGAATCTGAGGCAGAATCTATTTTGATTTGTATCTTGCCGAGGCAGTGACAGCTATCGGCCCCAGCACGCCTTCAAACAGCATTAGGGGTGGAAAGATGGGAAGAAAGGGAAGGTTTTATTTGCTATTTGTTGTTCTTGTATCCTGTATCACAGGCAGTCATTTAAGTGCTGTGAGCACTGTCATTGCAGCAAGGGACAAATTGAAGCCCTCCCTGCCTCGCCTGGCTGGTGGTGAGGAAGAGCTGGGACACATGCTGGCTGCTTCACGTGGCTTTCTTACAGCAGTGATGATATAAGCTAGTTTACCACATACACAAAAAATAACACTTACTCCAAATCTTTTGAATCCTTTGGTGTTTTTTTTCAGATAAAATTGCTTTTCTTTTTCCAAATTAGAAAGCAACTTAATTTTCAAAACGTTGAACAGCATTCCTTCCAGGTCTTCACATGTTTAACTGCAGTTTTCTTCAAAAAATCAAATCTCTTTAATCATAGATTATTCTTATCTTGTTAGAAATGTGTCAGCCCACACTTTACCCTGTGTGTAGGGTAAGCAGGGAGCTTGCTGGAGGAGGCCCTTATGCCTCTGCAGCAAACAGGAAAACTAGGCAAAACATCTCAGGAGCTTTCTGTGCACCATCTCAGCAGTGAAAAGCAAACCTGATGCTTCTAGGTCTAAGAACATGCCTATACAGCAGCCCTGCTTTTGCAGGATTTCTCTCCTCCTCCTCAGCAGGATCTTGCAGAACTAGGCTCTGTTAACCAATCTATGAGTTTTTCTCCCCACCAGATTTTTCAATCTTATTGCATCAAGAGTGATGACATTTTCATACTCACTTGCCACTTTCTCCATAGCTGTCCAGAGATGATGTTGCAGAAATTACACAAATCACCAGTGGGCAGCCTGAAAAGAAACAAAGGCAGTGGCAATATTAGTAACAAAGGTAAACCCAGCAAGTCCAACTAAATTTCGCATGGACAGCACAACAGCTCAGAGTAATTCTAGAATTAAGTCTAACTAGACATCCTCCTGCAGCTGTGTAATACAACGTGTTTTAATCAATTAATGTCAGACAAACAAAATGACTTTTCAATAAAGCACTAGTTTAACCATTAAACTGAATTAGTGCTAATTTCATTGAAAATCACAGTCTTTTTTCAGCCTGTTTCTTGTTAATGTAATTCCTGCCTTTTGCTATTCAAGCAGTGATATCCTGGGAAGCAATATCAGGCTTATTTTAACTACTTTGCCCCAGGTGAGTGTACCTTGCTCAAAAACTCAAAACAATCTGGAAAGCAAGGTTGAGTTTCTCGCAAGGGTGAATGACCAGCAGGCGAGAGGACAGAAATGGTGACATTTGGTTATCGAGAGCTTCGCACTCGCAACAGAGACAGCAATGAAGAGGCACAAGCAAATTCAGATCCTTCTCAGACACCCAACCAAGGCTTATTTTAGCACAAATACACACTAGCTCTCCAAGATTTCTGCGTTTAGAGTAGACTGTGGTTCCAGATGGGTTTTGACGGTTCCAGATGGGTTTTGACAGTTCCAGTGTGTCCATCCCGGGAAGCGGAGGAGTGCTTCATGGGATTACACAGGAATTAGACCAAGGCAGACAATTTTGGTCGGGCTGTCAGGGGGAGCTGCCTGGCCCTGGCCCCCAGCACTGCCATATCCTCTTGTGGCAGTTCAACACAACTTTCCAGGCCAGGAGCTGGAGAGGAAGTGAGGGATTTTGTGCCAGCAGTTCTGAATATAGTCAAATCTTATCCCTTTAAATATGGAACAATTGTCTGTTAATTCCTGTATGATTTAATAGAATGTGAAGGTTTGGGGTTTTATCATCTTATGGAATTTAATAACCAGGTCCCAGACAGAGTATTATACATGATAGCTTAAAGTTTCAATTTTCTGCATGAGGATGTACAAAATTCTCTGACAAGTAGTTTCTGCTTAATCTTACCAATATTGTCTCCATAAAATTCCATAAAATTTTCCTGTAATGACAGAACTGTAATTTTTGGAAGAAGTATTTTCACTCTGTAATAACTGTGCCTAGAAGCACCTTGTATTTATAAATAAAAATGATACTCAGTATTAAGAAGCAGCATCTACAGGCATTGCTTAGGTCTTAAACTTTGAAATCCAGTCTACAGGATGGAGTTTAATGTCTCATAAACATGACTCTGCTCTCCCATGCTCGTCCAAATCAAGGATAGTAGAAGCAACATTAGCGTAAGAAGTAACATTTGTGCAAGACCTAAGCAAAGGCAAGATTTTAGTTCACTATCACATTTGTGTCTTTGAGAAAGGAAATTCCTGCATGCATTTGAAAAAAAATTCATAATAATATTCAGCAGAGCAATTAAGATCAGACATAAGCCTATCTGCTGAAAGCCAGTCTGCCATGGGTTTGTGAGCTATCTGGACTAAAAATCCCGCAGCTATGTCTACACATTCCCAATCACATCTTTGGTTGTTGAGTAGATATTGTTGATTGGCCCAGTTTGCCTTTTGATACAAGTTGTCTGCAGGGACTTTGTCACAGAAGCTAAAATACCTGTGCCCCCAACTGACTCTCCTTTATGCTTCTAGTCTGCCTTTTTTTTCCCCAGTCAAACACTGAATATTCAAAAGATTTAGCATGATTCTCTATCAATTTTAAATGGCAGTGAAGAAGAAAATTAAATACAGAGTTCCTTTGGAAGATAATAAAACTTATGCAGATAAAACATAGAGCAGTCATCTGCATAAAAAGAGCTGTTAAGTCACTGAGAATAAAATGGTTTGCAGCCTATAGAGCACTGTTTGCCTTTTCTTTGCATTAACAATATATTAATTGAATAATAGCAATGGAGGCAGAATCAAGGTTTTGTTAAAGTCAAATTGAAATATTTTTCCTCTAAGAAATAACCACTCAATAAATTCCATGAAGGTTGAAAAAATAAGTATTTATCCTAAGGGGATCATAAGACTTGTTCTGGACTGAAGAATTCATATGAATTACATATTACACACGAAAGTAAGTGTGTTTGTTTAATCTTTTGTCAGTAATAATTACATAAGAGCTGTGAAGTTTAGTCTATACCCATAATAGGTAATGTTAATGTTGTGCTGGCACTGGTTATGAACTATGAAAGTTGTGATTTTTTACTGTATCTGAACGTTTTCTCAGTTAGTAGGTGCCACAAATACACTCACCAACGCTACTCCAAATCGTCAAATTTATGATGCGATAGACCCTGCTTTCCAGAGCACAATACCAGATGAAAGGGTCCCAGCACACCTTTCTGGCAGCTGATCTACGGCACTGGTGTCATCCGTGTCTCTGTGGTCCCGGAGCGATGCAGCAGCACACGCAAACAGGGTAAATCAACCCACGTGGAGCCCAGTGCTGCTCCAGCTCAAGTTCTGTGGTTCCCAAGCCAGCTAATTTAAAGCTACCTCCTAAACTTGGCATCCAGATAGAGCCTGCAGAGCAGGCATAAACTCTTAGTACCTGGCACAGGAAGCCCAACAACACAATCCTCCCATAGACAGAACTCTCCCTGAATTCAGCCCAAATATAGTCACTGAGGGAAAGCCTAAAATGCTTATCAACTAGGTCCCTCTTACTCAGCATTAAACTTCACATCTAATCCATTTGCTTTATGTTTCTGAGGCACTGTGATGAATAAAATGGGAAATGCCTGTAAATCTGTACTTTGTATTTTGAAAGCTTCTGTGTCTTTTATATATAGCAAAAAAATCCAACAAAAACAAAACCAGAAAAAAACCTAGACAGAAGCAATTCTAGGACTTTAATTCTAAAAGGCCAAATAGATCATTTAGTGAGAAGGACGAAGCATTAGACACAAATGAAAGCATATTTCCTTCCAATAATGAAAAGACCTTTACTTTACTTGATGGGGAAAAGTATATTTTCCCATTTGTTTTGTAGAAGTTAATTTTCTATGATTTTGTTTTTCTTCTCCTGCGTTATACCGTATCTACGCAGAAGTCTAGGACTACATCAAGCAACAGCAAATAAATTTAGGTCTTTTGACAGCTCAGAATAAAATCTTCATTCCAAGGCAGGCTCTAAAGGAAAGGAAATCATCTGAAATAGGAAAATATGTTAAGGTCAAAGTGCCACTGCAAAATCTCCAGTATCACAAACTATATCATCTGCATGCTACAAATGGGTGGGTGGGAAAACTTTTGCTACGATAATCTGTGTGTGTTATGCTAAATCACCAAGGCAACAAAGCTTTTTTTTCCCGCATCAGTCTCAGGGCAGTTTTAAAGATAGGATATTATCACCTTCCTCAAGTCGGTCTTCTGAATTCCTGACAACTGCAGTCTTTGAGGTAATTTTAGCACCCTTGGGGCTAAAGATAACACACAGGAACTTCAATCTGTTCTGCATATTCAGTATCCTGTCTCTCTGATTGCTGTTGAATTCATTTTACAGGAGTACTGACTCTCAGGAATCTCACTAGCTGTTCAGAGATCAGTGATACTCGCTGTAGAACTCCTTGTCCCTATCACCTCTCGTGGCCACAAGTTTAAATCTGCCATTAATGAAAACTGTGCTAACTTTTACACATGTACCTAGCCCAGTTTTTCTGCTTAAATAGGAATGATGAGTCTGGGTTTTTAAGTTCAGGATTGGGGTTTGTCATTATTCCAGGAACAGTGTGTTTGCAAGAGTCAAATGCATTCACACCTCAATTAGAAGCAAAGAAAGAAGAAATGAACTATCTTCATGTTTTGACTAACGTGAGCTGAGACATCCTTGACTTCCACTTCCTCCAACTCCGACATTCCCAGCACAGTGAAACCTCCCTCCCACAGTCCTGCTACTGATTTGGTAATTAAGGATTTGATCTGGCCCAGGGAGGTCATGGAATTCACTGCAGTGGAATTAGGTTTAGGGACTGTGCATTTTAAACTCTGACTACAGTCAGAAAAATTATGCATTTTCTTATCCTGCAGACCTACTCTCAGCGACGTAAATTACAATCATAAAATGACAATTTTACAAATGTTTCTGAATATAATCTTGTCCTACAGTGAGGATACTTAAAGCAAGCAGCTGCTAAATGCTTACCCCATCCAATTCCGTAATAATATAAGTGCTTGCTCTCTTCTGACCCAAATACTTTGATTACCATACTGTAAAGATGAAATCCTTCTACCAGCATCCATGCAAAAGCACTCAGGAAGAAAAAATGAAGCAGAATGGCCAAGATCTTGCAAGGTACCTAAATGAAAAACAAATATTAATATATTACTTCTTCATGATGCAGTCATATTGGTTTTCCTTTTTTTTTTTTAATTTCTGTACACATTTACACACCAAATGCTAAAACACTGGAATAAATCTTAAAGAACTAAAGAATTTAATTTTTTTACAGAATTTTCAGATAGCTTCAGAGTAACAAATTCTCTTACATTTTAATAAAAAGAAAATATTTGCCAAATGTAATGTGAAAATCCAAACTGATTATTTGTTTATAATAGTAGGAGTAATACTCATACTAAAGTTTGCAAAATACTTAAGGATTCAAACCTGAAGAGTCAACACTCTGTTGCAAACCTATAGTAAATAAAGCAGGGTCAAAGAAGTGGGGGTACAGCCACTGTCCTGTACCCTGCTCTCTGTTCTGTGATGGCAGAAAAACCAGCATAGTTTTCTGTGAAGAACTGGTAGAAAGTCAGTGAATCAGTTAAGCTTGAGCAAAACAGAAATTTTAAAAGAATGCGCCATGTTGAACCTGCCCTTTAGTTACACTTCGCCACCTGGTTTTCCTGCTTTGCTGTTCATCATATCAATAACAGGATAACACACAGATGAAATCACACTGTATTCCAGTGTCTGTCTGTCCTGGTTAGACGTTCTGTACAAGCCTCATATGCTCCTCCATCAGCAATACTAATATAGACATTTCAAAAAATTACAGCAAGTTATCATTAGCTCTTGACTCCTAATGCTCTACAGTGGGTATCAAGTTTGCCCACCTGTTTGACTTCTGTTTCCCATAGTCTGATGTACCAGCTGTGTATGAAGTCAGATTTGACAAGAACACATTTAGTGATTAAGGCAAAGTGTTCTCTGTAGGGTGTGTAGAGACAATTTGAATACTCCTTGGTAGTCCTTTAATGAAAGAGGAAAGAGGAGCTAATATGAAAGTTCAAGCCACAGAAAAATACCATCTAGAACGTGAGCCCACCTGGAGACAATTTGAATACTCCTTGGTAGTCCTTTAATGAAAGAGGAGCTAATATGAAAGTTCAAGCAACAGAAAAATACCATCTAGAACGTGAGCCCACCTGGTGTAAAATTGGACTATCTGTTTCGATTTAAACTATAACATGTTTTGAAGTGAAACAAATGCTGCCCCAAAAGAGAGGAATGCCATGATGAAGGCAATGCAGCAAGAAGTACGAACATCCTCTTGAGCCTTGTTATACACTCGCCTCAGTGGACTAAGGAGATGCAGTCTGGGATAAGACCTACCCTTTCCTTAAGTTCCTACTCAAAGAGATCTTTACATTTTTCTCTAAGTCTCCCATCAGCCTACCTTATGCAAACAGGAAAACTTAATCCTTCTTCCTCCCCACATATTCACACAGCACATTCTCCTTTCCCCACTAATTGCTTTCCGAGGATGTCTCACTACAAGTGGTTTTGCTCATCATGCAATAATTGAACAGATGTGGCTGCCAACAGTCTTACCACAAGATAACCTTGTTTGGTTTGCTTTCACTTAAAGCACATTTTAAATACGCTCTTGGAACGAGTCCCGGCTCTATCTCAGTTTTGCATCTTGTAGCATACTGATGACGGTCATCGTGCTCTGGTAGTAACATCCCTTCTGTGACACCTACAGAATTCCACAGCAGTTGCTTACATGCAGTCCATCTAAATGGGAAGACTTTGTTTTCTTTTTTTATTTCAAGGTTTCCCTCGCTCTGGACAACTCACAACAAGGTGACCAGGCAGGGGCGGTCCATGTGCTGAGGAAGCTTTACCAGTAGGAACCAGTTTGCTGCCACAGTGGTTTTCAGATGCTAATCATTAGTTCCCTTTGTCACATTACCTTAATTGCCCTGTGCTGGCATTTTCCTCTTTTTGTTGATGGTTCAGTATTCTGTACGCTAATGAAAACTAAAATGTTGGGACTTTATAGTATAATAAAAATCGAAGCTTTCCTGTACCTTTTTACCTGTACACAGCCAGTTTTGTGCTAGTGCAAGGACATTCTAATGCAAATCCACTGTGACTACACGTATTAAAAAGCAAGAACTTTGGTTTTAATTCAATAAGTGAGATCTGCTAAGTGTTTTTATAATTCTCAACATTCGGTGATATATAGCTAAAGCAGATTTGCTTATTGACAAAATCTATAAAAACCTTTCCAGTTAATTTCAACATAAGGTTACGAAATCCATTTTTAAATCCTTTTGATTTCTACCAGAAGATTAGTCCATGGAAATAAAAATACAACATAAAGCTGACTTACAAGCTAGTTCTGTCAAATGGATACTTTCCAATTTCTGAGTAGCCAAACAACATGAATCACAAAACAGCAGAAAAATAAAACACAGTAAAGTAGCAGGACTGGTCTGTATATAATTTTGTATAACACTGAGTATTTTTACATAAAATCCATAAGAAAGTTGTTACTCATTCCATATTTTTGCCTTAATTAGAGGATACTCTTCAATAACAGAATTGCCTCCCTGAAAAAGACATCGAAAAGCTGAGATGTTGCATAATAAAAACAAGGAAGGGCTAGCATAGGTGTTGAGAAAGGCCTCAGAAAAGGAGGCAGTTGTTTACTGAGGACGGTCTTAAAACAGACAGGTAAATTTACATACACCTTCTAAATTCAACTTACAGTAGTGTTTTGAATGTAAGTGGCAGTAAGCATTGTACAGAACCCTCTGAAAATGTCCTTCCCTGCAATCTCTATGCTGCTTTTGATACACCATCTCGAATTTCTGCAGGTATATATAAGCAAAGTAGCTTATTTCATCCCTCTATTTGGAAGTGTTTTAAGGAATGCCATGCAGGAGTACTCAGTGTGAAACTGCTCTGATGTTCTGCTCTGATGCAGAACTGCAAATACACATTAAATTTTCCAGTTGTGCTGGAAAAACACAGTGCTGCATAACACACTATACTTCAATTTCCATTTTCCTGTGTCTAAATAATACTTTATTTTCTCCCACAAATACGTTCTGGTCTCTAGAAGGCTTTAGCAGCCTAAAGATGGTTAATTAATTTTAAATGCACACTGCTGTTTGAGATTCTGTTAAAAAAATGGTGCTCTCTATAGCAGAAAGTAAATAACACAGCAAATCTCTCTGAGAAAAACAAATCCATCTATTGTTGAAAGTCTAAGGGAAGTCATTACACTGGCATGTGGATAGCAAAGATATCTTAGGGACCTGGCAGTGTAGAAAGAAAATACCACGTGCAAAGATATTTCCTTTCTCTAGAAGAAAGATATTCTGGTTTCAGGAATAATGACCCTCCTGGAGTATGCCATGGTGATTTAGGACAACTGGTTTAGCACTACTGATGTTAGGTAACAAGGACAATTTTTTAAAAATAAATACATTTCTTGGATTTATTAGAAAAAGTCCTATTCATGGAAATAGAATTTTGTGGTTAAAAATGACTCCTACTCTACAAAAGGAAAATTGCTGTAGTATAAATTGTAAATGTTTAAGTAACAGGGCAATGTTTAAATTCCAGGGGAATACTGTATGCTATATCTGGAATTAAAAACTAAATATCCCTAGAGACGGAGATGGGACAAGGCTGGAGAGTCTAAAGGCAGTCATGCAAGAAAGTGACGCCAGCTCATGGCCAGTTTCTACCACGTCATTTCCTACTGCCCCGCATCTCCTCAAGCAAGCTGGTACCGCTTGTCCTTCTCAGCAAGGGCACTTACAAACTGCTCAGCACTAGATACACCCATCTCTGGCAGAGGCAGAAGATTAAGAAATTTACACCTTCTAGTGCAAATACTTCCTCCCTCGTTTTGTAAACTACCATTTAGCGGTTCAATTAAAGCACCAATTAAAGGTATTAAAACAGATGTCAAAGACAGAGCATGCAGAAGATAAGGACTGACGGAGACTAATACAAGGATGAATCACAATACTCCTGATCCCAAGAGGTTAAAACAATAAAACTAGAAGTGCAGCAGATAGTATGTACACCGTGCTTTTCAACTTGAAGATCTTTACAGTAATGTGCCCTGCAATTACTGCTGTTACAGAGGAGATGGAGCTGAAACATCCATTGATGCTGTGAAGTGTTTCGCTTCAGAAAGCCTGTGGCTTAAAGCAAGTCTTGCTTTCTCTGTGCTACTGTTCCAATTTAACTAAAGTCAGTTTTGAGTAGGTTTAAGAGAAATGAAAATATGCATATTAAACTGCAACGTGAGTATTTCACAAGCCTCACTAAAGCAAGAGGTCTGTGTGTACAAGGCATATTGAAATGTAGGTGGGCCCTGGGACAGGTCTCTGGAGAACATGGGCTCTACCTGCATCCTCCAACTAAAACTGGAACGGCAACTAGTATTTCACAGTATTTTAAAAGACTGGAGGTAATGCTGGCCCCTATAAGGTGCAAAGAGGCTTTTACACATTATCTGAAATTATTCAGATGGATTGTCTGAAAATCTGGAATGGATGAAAAAGGAAAAACTGTGAGAATAAGGCACTCTGTTACGCTGAATGAACATTTTATTGTCCTCAAGCTTCTGTCCTTACAGCAGATTTTTAACTCTGTACTTACTCGGAGGATTATTTTAATGTCTGGTTTCCACTGTCTTCAGTTTTAAGTTATATCTTTTGTTGCTCTCCACTGTCTCCATTTCATTTTCCTTGTAAACCATTTCCTACCATTTTCTGCCTTGCACATTATCTGACCCATTTGGGACTTACCTAAATGTTAACCAGCCAAAGAGTATGAACTTAGATTTACAAAGCACTTTTAGATCCTCAGGTAATAATAGCCTATGTAAAACCAGACATTATTGTTGTTTATAAACTTAACAGATGTTCAAGGGATCCCATCTGAGCTGAATTTAAATTTAAGTAGCTGTCGTATTGGCAAAATGAGGACTGTGCAGACTTCGCATTTACTTGTACCGAGAATAAAAAGAATAAAAGATTAATAGAAACTATTTGCTGTTTGTCAGAAGTAATATGGAGCTACAGCTGGTCACCAAAGTAGCCGTGTTTTGACGATTACAAAACCAGAACACACTGGAAGATTATTTTGAAATCAGGTTTTGTTTCTTCTTTTTGCAGGTGGGACTTTTCAACAACAGACATTATGTTACTTGACATTTTTTAAACACAACAGTGGAAACAAATTGGTTTTACAGGTATGCAATACCGTTAACTTGGCATATTCAGCTTAACTTAACCCAGCTCTTTCAGATGCCAGTTTTAATGGCTTAGATCCTGGTACTCTGCATAAGAAATTCCCACCTGTAGTAGCAGATCCATAAAATCAACCTCTAATTTCAAGTTCCAGTCTATGTGATCAGCTAGAAGCCTACACATGCACAGAAGTTAAGTACCTCTGTAAGCATTATGAAGGTGTTTGTCATTTGCTTAAGTGGTTGCCTTAAATGCCCAGAGAAGTATATACATGTTTTATGTACTGAGGATCTTGGATTAAACTCTTACACAGTGATACAATAAATCTGCTGTTCAGAAAAACAGCGTATTCTTCCACACCAATAAAACTTTATGAGCAAAAAACAAAGACCTTCTGTTTTGCTCTCCAAGAAAGCAGAAGAAATTGCCACAGCTCCATCAGGAAGCTCATTACTTTCCAACAAGGATAAGATGACTTTATATTGTGGAGAAAAGAAAGGCAAGCTGTACCACAGAAGAGGGTAGGGAATTAAAAAAAGCCCACGCCGCCTCCCAAAAAAACCCCAACAGAAATACAAATACCTTACCTAAATACAAAATTCATACAATTTTCTCCAATAAAGAATTTGAACAGTTTTTCAATAGAGAGAATGGATGAGAGAAAGCATAAGCCGTGTCAGGCAGAAGTCAGCCATGTCATCTGAACACACAACTGAAACGTACCCCATTACTACGGTGATTTTTCCATCTGATGTGTGCATATCGCTTCCAGTGTACAAACATCCAGACTGGGCTGGATACTATGATAACGCTATTTGGATGCATAGAAGCTTAATCCAGTGTTGCAGGATGTCATTTTTGGGTAAGGCATGTTAAAAATAGGAGATCCAGCATTTTCTTGCATGTGGCACGTGGCACTCTTTAGTACTCACCGTTCCGGGGCTGAACTGAAAGCTGGTGAGAAGCAGGATCTGAGCCACCAAGACAGCGAAGGACAGATTGGCATGGATATGGTAGCGCTGGTTGCGGATGGTGCTGACAGACCTGGCAGAAGACAGAAGGACATGTGAATAAAACAGTGTTCCAAGAATACTGTTCCTTCAGGACAGCAGCAGAAAGACTGCTTTGCACATTAATTAGCTCTGCTGATCACTTGTGATAGGATATGAACGAAGTTAGAATTTTTAATTATAATTTTTGACTTTACTATTAACAGCTTTTGAGCACAGAAACTCTACTATAGCTACAAATATGGATGGGCAGTGCCTGTCTTGACAGAGACCTGACTTTGATTACAACATCATTTGAACACATCTCTCTTGGCTTTGCAAAAACTGGCTGGAAATCTGACAAGAACACGCTTTCCAGGGAGTCTTCTGACCTCGTGTTTCTGTTCTTATCCAGAAACAGGAACTAGAAAACAGAGATGTTTATCAGAACATTTCAGGCCTTTCACATGGTTTTATTCTTCTCTTTTTTTAAAAAAAAAAAGAAGACAAAAGTTCTAGCAATAACAGGTTTTCTGTTCAATTCATACTGCCCACCATCAGCTCCACTTATTTCAGGAGACCTGGATCATTTGGCTACGTGCATAGCAGCACTTCCTCCACACAACAGTGCATACTCCCATCTTTTGGTTGCATCACACCGGAGGGTGATGCCTTTCACAACTGCTGGTGACGCGCTGTGCGTGTCCCTGGCCGCAGGGTGACGAACTGGACTCCTCCAGCATTATTGTAGCCAGTGCCCCTTTAGAAGGGAGCGAAGAGGGAGACAATATCCTGAAAGTAATTCAGAGTTGTGCTGCCTGGTTCCAGTGGCTTTCTAATAAGGAACTTCCTGTAGTGGCAAACTGGAACCTCGCTGCTCAGGAGGCCATCAGGACTGCCCTCCTGGGAAGCGGCCGGCGCTGCCAGTACGCAGAGTAGCAAGGAACTTGCCAGATTCTTCTCCACTTACCTCATGGTCATCTAACACCACATTGCAAAATTTCAGTTGAGCTGTTTAATGAGGCCCCTGCTCTCCAGTGAAAACCTAATCAAATTATTTTTAATTGGCTGCTTGAAAGATCATGTACATAGGTGACCCTGTGACAGTCAGATGGGTCTGAGCTCTCTTTCCAAGTCTTCTGTTTGCCTTCAGTTTCCTGAGGAGTTTTTAGCCCTGCTGCAGCCAGACCACCTCCTTTTACTCCTTTGTCCTTTCTAAAGACCACAACATTCAGTTTTGCGGATCGTTCCCCTCAGCCTAAACATGCCAACAGCGCCATGTGAGATAGGCAGATGTTCGACTTCTTTAGAGTGGATTTTGCCATGCGTTACACACTTCATCCAAGTATGACCAACGCAGATCCTGAGACTTGGAAATAATGCGGAGTTTGGAACAAACAAACACTGCAATCAGTTTACTTGGTTTCAGAAAGTCCTTTTTCCTAGAAACTGTCTCTTAACAGGATGTCCAAAAGACACGCTTAGGCACAGAAATTAAAAACTGAACTCTTGAGTAGGAAGAACATGGCTTAGTGTGTGAAAGGAAACAAGAATCACATTCCTTGCTGTGCAACTCCAAGTTACTTCACCCTTTGTCAGGTTTTCTATTTTGACAGAAACTTCTATGAAAGCTTTTTCAGAAATGCTTGCATTAAGCCTAGCTGGGGTTCAAACTCGGTTGTCACTCCTGGAATATAAATGGGCATTAAAACCCGAAGTGCCCTTTGGCAGAAACCTCCCCAGTGCTGAGCCCCCGAAGGGGCTGCTGTGATACAGGCAGGAGGCTGCACAGATCCAGAGGATTTAAACATAAGCCATGGAGTGAGTTTTACACTGCCTATATAGCGTCCTTCATCCTACTAAAGCAACAATTTAGAGTAATGTGTTGCCTAGCTAGCCTAACAGAGAAAAGCAAGAAACTTGAAAATAAATGTGGCTTATGTGATGTAATTGTATGAATTGTATGATGTAAACCATACGATGTAAAAGTGAGGCAGCTAATATTGACCAATCTTTCCTTTCTGAGCATACCTTTATAAACACACTGCCTTACAGACAAGGCAGTTGAAAAGCAGAAAGAAGTACACTCTGAGCAATCCAAAGAGGGGTGTAGGGTGAGGGGGGGGGGGGGATCCTGCAATGCTTGTTCATATTCCACTTGCTTTGAGCTTCAGACCAAGCCTTCTTACAGCCTCCTTGCAAGATTCCTGAACTATAGTAAAGTATTGAGAGTTTTAAAAAATTCCAAAAATTCCTCACAGGATGGAAATAGTTTCCTGTATAAAGACCATCTCATTTCAGGAAATGAAAGTATTTTAGAAATAATCAACCAACTGTTACAAATACAAGTGCAGAACCTAATTAAGGTAGGTGGTAGAATTAATAGCCTTTGTTTTACCTTGAGCACTTGAAAGGATCCTAACCAGTGACCTGAAATGTACTGCTTGGCTTTCTCCATGATAGTTGCTCAGTAGGTATTAAGTCAAAATTACTCACGACAATACAGCAAACGTGACCAGCGTGATCGCCAAGCAGAAGATGGACAGAGCGCAGCCAATGTAAGTGATGGAGGAGAGGGCCACCTGGTGTTCTCTTGTTAGCTGTACACAAAGACAAAAAGCGAGATAAAAACTATTAATTGATTTATTATGCTAGAGAAGCACAGGTCAGCCCCCTTGCATATTGCGTTTCCTCCTCCATCTGCCCATATATAAGGGGATGGTCACCACCACTCGCTGTTGTTTCTAACACGGGAAACGAAGAGCCAACTCCAAGCTCGGCCGCACAGCGAGGGTATCCACATGCCCATGGCATTTTGGTTCCCTCTTTCGTTTCATAAATCACTATTTCCTCAGAACAAGTTAATTTCTCTGCTGCTGCGATATTGTCAAGCTTGAGATTAGAGCAGTTTGTTGGGCTTCACAAATATCGTCAGCAATGGGATCTTTCACAGCTCGCAGGGCTCTTTGCTCATGCTCTCACGCTGCAATAATTTACATCGTTGTGCAAATACCAGAAGGGCTTCACAGCAGTGAAAACTGACAGAGCAAGATGACCCATAAATCACAGGCCTTTTTTTGTTGTTTTGTTTAATGTATCATGTTTTCAGCACCTGTTGAAGGAGCTGGGCTGACAACAGAAAACTACAGAAAAGACCCAACATGAGCGTTCAGTGTAAACCTCTCATCTCCGCCTCTCTCTTCATCCACAGGCACCCTTTGTAGAAGTAATTCCATTTTCACGGACATTTACACTGTAACTCCATAGTGCTCGCCACCAGGATCTATGTTAAAACCTGGATAGATTCAATGAGGGAGGGACAGTGAGTTTTGTCCATTCATCCTAAATTAATCAGAAAGCTTTAATTTTCCCTGCAAGTTCTCATAAAGAATGACAAAGCCACACCCAACAAAGGGATCCAGGCAGTATTAATATATAATAAGTAGAACAGAGCTAGGCAGCAAGAAGTTTTCTCATCTCAGAAAAATTTTCAAACATTTTCCTGACTTGAAATTGGATAGAGCTGACATTCTCACAAAGTGAACACTTGGAAAAAAAAATGTGGTAAATTAAAAAGTTTTAATTTTGATGCTTGAAATACTCTGTTTTTATTTTGATGTCCATTAGCTATAAATTAAATTCCTATCTGAAAACTCATTCAAAATACTTAGCTATTCTGAAAAATACTGAAAGGAACAATATATTTTCCAATTTTTTACAGCAACTCTATCTAACAAAAAATAATCCTTTCTCACAGTTTAGGATTTTCTATTATTTTCTAGACACATAATAAAAATTCCTAAAGTATTTCATTAGAGGTTGTCAAACCCAACCAGTTCTACCAATAAATGTCCCATTAAAACTTCTTTTAAAGCAGAGAAATAACATGCCATGTGCTTGTGAGAAAATAAAATCATTTTAAATACTGACAAAACCAGTGCGTTTATATGTATATTTTTCCTGCAATCATCTGCCAACAGTATCAGCTCACGTGCAGTTAGTTTTGCAGCAGAATAGATTGGGGCTTGCCCAGCAATCTGAGAACTATTAAGCAATGCAACAGCAGCATTGGAAGACAACTGTTGCTATGGCGTTACTGTTCGTAGGAAATATGATGCAGCTCTTTAGTATTTTTTCTCTTTCAGCCAAAGACACATTTCTTTTCCCTGACTTGGATAGTGTTAGTTGCAGAAACAAAAGGGTTCTGTGTGCTGGACGAGCTTAAAAGGTCCATAAAATTTCTACAAGAGAGCTCCTGTCACCCCTCATCCCCCAGAGAAGCCACGTATAGCCATCCATCACAGATTATTCCTGAAACAGGAATCACTTGTGTGGTAAATTGGACAGTTTAGAAGTGATTTCCTCATCAGGGATATTCTTGTCCAAAAATGCATGGACCTTCTTTCCTGATTGCTCCAATGCACGTCGCTTTCTCTCCCTGCAGGTAGCCTGCAGTGCTACAGCGGGAGGAGGGGAGCAGAGAGAGCTTCTCCAGCTTTAAGTCACTCTGAAATCAGTATTTCTCAGCAGCTCAAGTCTTTCTTTCACTCCTTTCACTCCCAACACCTGCAGCCAGAAAACGTTCCCTACAGAGGTCAAAGCTGCTCAGTGCTCATTTAGATTTACAGGGTCTGTCAGGGTTTGCATTGGCAGAGGCAGACAAGGTCTGCAAAGGAAAGGTAATGTCTTACTATCACATACAAGAACAGAAGATACAGGGGGTCCATCTAGTGGAAATGGGCAAAAACCAAAGCCTTTAGTTTTTTCCATAATAATCCAAGAGAAGAAAATGATCACACAAACATCTTTCTCTAGCCATCATAATGTGCCTCTAAGAAAGGCTTTCTCTGTGTTTTAGCTCAGGCTTCCTCTGGAAACCCAAGATAAGACAAGAATCAAGTTCCCCCAAGTGGAGCCTGTATTACTTAGAAACAAAAAAAAAAAAAAAAAGGAAAAAAAATCTCTTATCAATAAAATGTAGCAGATGCATTCAAGCTTAAAATAACCTACATAGGTTCCTGCATCTGTGAAATGGAAATTGCTGTTGCTCTGGTAAAGGCAATCAAAATTTGATGATGATTTAGGAATGACACTCTTAAATTGATACCCACATCAGTCTGGTAACCACTATTTCAAAAGAAACATTGCCGTAGTTTACATTCTCATCTTGCCTGGTGTGAGGGACAGAAAGCCTGTAGGTAGTTTTGAACCATTTCCTGTTTCTTAAGGAAAAGGTGGAGCCCTCAATAGCTGTTCTCAAACTGAGAGAGTGCAAGAGAGCGATCCTTGGTCACAGCTGCTCCCACCAGTGAGGCCAGCTCCTTTCTGTGGGTGATATGAATTGCAGGGGGAAGGATACATCACAAAAAGAAGACCTGGAAGGATTTCCAGGGCATGGAGCCTCATTTCTAAATACAGGTATACAGGGTGGGAGAGAAGAGAACCTGTATTTAAAATATTAGGTCTCTGCTAACTTCTCATAACCCAGCTGTTACAGCTCAGGCAGATGTTGTGTGTGTGTGTGTGTTCACATTGCAAGGGATAATGAGCACATGGCTTTTTTAGAAGTACCTGGCCTGTCAAAGCATTGTGCATCATTAAGAAACAATTTCCTATAAATTCCAATGCTATAGAATCATAGAATGGCCTAAGATGGAAGGGACCTTAGAGATCATTTTAATCCAGCCTCCCTGCCACCACACCGGGCAACACATGGGGACCGAACGGGAATCGAACCCGCGACCTTAGCGTTGTTAGCGCTATGCTCTACTGACTGAGCTAACCGGCCCCTAATAGCTATAGGATGAGCTGATTTCATTTACCTCAGCTTGCCTTTTTAAACATCTCCGGACTTCACGCACGACGTGAAATATAAGACAGCAATTTGGGATGATCTTGTAGTCAGCATAAAAAAGCTAATCAGGCTGTAATGCTATTACTAAAAAAAATAGCATTAAAAAGTACCAAATAAAACATTGAGCAATCTGTGAAGTAGTCCCATGAGCCTGATTCTCACATTTGTCCCAATCTACATTAACTTATTATTTTCTTCTAAAAGGTTTTGCTTCTTTATACAGTAATTCTCTTATTCTGCAGCACACTGGATAACCAGGAAACAAGCTCATGCTGGTAACAATCACAAACACTAAAAGACAGATGTTTCTTAGTTTCAGCTGTGACAAACAGACAAATCAAAAATTCATACTCCATATAAAACTCCCACCCTTTTAGTTTTGGCTGCAACACTCTTTACCTTGCAAGTGTCACTAATAGCATTGACAAAGACCTGATGGTTTCAGTAGTTACACCCATCTGCAGTATTATGGTCTGTTGTCTTACTCTTGCTCTCCTTCATAAAAGACACTAGTACATTGCTCAATATTTTTATTTTGAAAGCTCATGGGTAACCGGATGATCTGAGAAGTGAGCCTGGAAAGATACCACTTCAGACTCTAAGTCCGTATTTTTCCTTTATGATGTTTTTAATAACAGGAAAATGAGTGACATCGAACTCCTCTGTTTAAAAATAACTGCACAGGAAGATAAAAATATATTATTATAATGGGATGGTGGTACTTTTCATCTCTGGAGCCTCTGGAGAAGGTCCTTCTAAACCAAAAGGCTTGTTCAGTAGGCTAGACAGGAAAAATTCTTTGATCTGTATCTAAAACAGGAAAATTACTTATTTATGTAACAGTAATGAACAACTGTGTGTACATCGCAGCACAACAACCCATGAAGAAGCTAGATGGGCTGCAGGAACACAAAATAACCACCGGATCAGAGTACGTGTCTGGGCAACAGAGGGCTCTCCCTGCTCAGCGTCCCATTCCAGGCATCCCCTTCTTTTGTGTGAAATTTGCCTTTTTTCTCATTATTCATTTCTCAGGCAGTTGACTGAAGGTTTTTTGCTTTGCAAGGGGGGGAACTTTAGTCTTTCTCCAGAAGAAGGGACATTTTGGGGAAATAGTAATTTAAATTTTCCTCTTTATATACCGCAAAATATTAGGCTATGTCCGCCTTTAGAGGCAAACACATCAGACAAAGGGCTGAGCTTGAAGACTTAAACCAAGATTTGTCATAGCTGACCGTGATAGGGTTCGTCCATACACCAAATTACAACTTCACAGTTTAGCCACCAAAAGAATTATCTAAATTATTTTTGAAATCTCCTTCTGGAAAGCAACTCATCTTCTTCCAAAAAAAAGTCAACTTCTTGAACCAAAAAATATAAGTTCTGTAATCTAAGGACTATATCATACCCATAATTTGTATTTTAATGTTACTTACTGGTAGAACAGAATGTGATTTTTTTGCATGTGCTTATATAGCGTATACATTTTATGAAGGCAAAGTTATTCGTTTACTGGTAGAAAATGTAAGATATGACAACTTAATTTTTCTCTAGGTCCAAATGTAAGAGCAAGTTATATTTTTGTGTCAAACTTTCTATCTCCAAGAAGCATTCTTGCCATGAAGGTACTTAAAATGACATTTTTTTTACTCTATTTATCAAACCGACTGAGATCTACCATGGGACAATCAGCTGCTGGCCTGGGCTGAAATCCACTCTCCAAACCTCCTGCAAGGGATTGAAACA